GTTCCGACACATAGAATTAGGGGATCGGAGTGTCACGTACCGACACAAGAGGAGGAAAGATAATGAATCTTGAAAGATGTTAATATACTCAATCTAACGAACATGATTCCCAAATGAGTATGGTATTGGGGCTTGAGCCCTCATGTGTGAATTTGATGGTACTTATTGATGATTATAGTACTTGTTGTTGTTACATGTTGAGTATCATAGTTGATTTTATGATATTACTCGGTATATATTGATTTCTATTTTGAGTTGGCCGATGATATCTACTCAGTACCCGTGTTTTGTACTGACCCCTACTTTTATTGTTTTCTTCTTGTTATTTGTGTAGTGCAGCAAACGTGCCGTCATCTTCGACTCAACAGTAACTCAAGCCAGTTTTCGTCACACCGGATCTTCAGGGTGAGCTAACACTTCTAGCTTGGACTGGATCTCCTCCGGCACGGACTAGCTTCCTATGTATTTTTAGCTTTTAGAATACTCTTAGTTAGTCATTTGATTTTAGATGTTCTTGTGGTGATGACTTCCAGATTCTGGGGATAATGATAAGTTTTTGAGTTATAGAAGTTGATTACTGATTTTTACTAATGAGTTTAAGTCTTCCGCATTACTTTTGTTGTTATTACATTGAAATGTTAAGGTTAGATTGGTTGGTTCGCTCACATAGGAGGGTACGTGTGGGTGCCAGTCGCGGCTCGGATTTGGGTCGTGACAATTATATTATAATATATATTTATATTATATCAATTATTAATGTTAAATAATAAATATTATAATTTAAAATTAAAAATTAAAAAGTAAAAGATACTTTTTTGAAGTAACTATGTTTAGTCCATTAAGCTGAAAAATCAAACAAAAAAAATTTGTAAATTTTTAAATTTTAAAAAGCCCAACTAAGCAGGCCCATTAAAAAAACCGAAATAACAAAACCGAATCAAAATAATATAAATTGAACCGAAATAATAAAAACCGAATTGAACTGTATTATTTTGGTTCGATGGTCGGTACACGTTGTACAAGAACCGAAAACCAAAAAATCGAAAAGAATCAAAACCGAATCGAATTACCGAATGCCCACCTTCCTTCTGAATTTTATTTTTGAAAGATTTAAACAGTAAGTCTTGAAAGAAATTATGTTTGAATAATTGTAGATTCTTTTATTTTATTTTTTAAAAAAAATATTCCATAGACAAAAAGAAATAGACATGTAACAAACTATGACATTGAGAATTAAATAAACCGAAAAAAATATTTGTTCACCTACCTACAAATAATTGAGCTAATCACGACTAGTTTGGTTTGCAAATTTAAGGTCCCAAAATCTCAACCTTAAATTACATATTAATACAAAAGAATTGCAACTTATATTATTATTATTATTATTATTATTATTATTATTATATGTTTTTTAAATATAAATGTTAAAATATTAAATTTAGTTAATCCACTTAAAGATGGAAAAAATAGTCAAACTCAATTCTAGAAAATATTATTATTTTTGTCTCAATTTATGTGGCATTTTTTATTTTTGAAAGTCAAATGATTTAAGTTTAACCGAATATTTGCATATGAAATCTTCAAAAACTTTAAATGAAATTTGTATATTTGTAAACTACAAGTCGGAATAATTGATAATTCAAAATATTTAAAATAAATTTTCACTTAGAAATAAAAAATATGTAAGAATGACACGTCAAGATACTTAATAGTTCAATGACATAATACATAAACATGACCCCTAACTTTGTTTCAGTGGACAATTATGAACTTTCGGTGTGCACAGGTAAATACTTAAACTTGGATTGAACAAATAAATACATTCGTCCTACATGGAAATTTTGTGTCTTATATGGCATCCCACGTGTATTATGCGACGTAGGCCACATGTGTCTACCTATTCAATTTTATACATGGTTAAGTGTCTATTTGTGCATACCCATCAGTTGAAGCCAAGTTAAAAGACGAATTTATGTATTATGCCTACTTCAATCGATGGAAAAGAATTCTTCATACATGATACAACAACAATAAAAAAGAAGAATAATTACGTTAAGAAATTTATTGCTAAAACACTAATCCATCGTTACATAGTTCATACTACAGATTAATATAAATTTATTTATATTAATTTCATCAGTAATCCGTAGTTATAAGAAATTATGAAATTACAAAAATTATCTTTTATGGACAAAAGTTATTCATAGCTAATTTCAAACTTTCCCCTATTAAAATAATTCTGATGACATACGAAAGTAGTCATGCATGACAAATACACACTAGTAAAACAAAATTTGATGTTTTGTCACAAAATTTCAAATAAACAAGGCTAGAAGAATATTGAAAAATATCATGATTACAACAAAAATCAACACCAAAAATAAAATAAAATATCTAGCTAGAATTCACAAAAAAAAAAAAATCAACTTTATTGGTACATAAGTCTTAAAATCAAATATTATAGTATTACG